CACTGGGACCTTGTTCCTGGAGGTCAAGGTCACTGGGACCTGGTTCCTGGAGGTCAGGGACACTGGGACCTGGTTCCTGGAGGTCAGGGACACTGGGACTTTGTTCCTGGAGATCAGGGACACTGGAGTCTGGTTCCTGGAGGTCAGAGGACCTGAGGCTGAGCTGCACCCAAGATTGTCAGCACCAAGGGGAGACCCAGATCATGTTCTCCTGGAAAACAGACTCGTGAGGCTAATTTCAACAAAATGATAAGCCAGAGTTACGGGTTTATGGGCGGGGGCCATCACTGCCACCCAGAGACCAGTCACAGCCCCTGGGCTGTTATCCGGCGTCTTCCGCACACCAGTCTTGGGGCTGCCCTGTGCTGGTGTGTGCCTTGCATGGCCTTTGTCCTGGACCTGTCCAGGTTCAGAGCAGGTCCCTGTGCCACTGAGTCTGCCAGTCGGAGTGTGGTTCCAGGCCAGCAGGGGGCGCAGGAGCCACGTCTTCCAGGTTCCTGTCCCCTCCAAGCTCCCTGGTCTTTTTTCCCCAATGGTGCAGGATGGTGTTGTGGAGAAAAGACCCCCACCCCATGTGCTGCAGCTGAAACTATGGAACCAACTGGCCACGGTCAGGCAGTGGGAGGGGACAGGGTTATTGTGTACCCGGGGCATTCGTGGGACGCAGGGAAGGCATCCTTGATGGAAGCAAGGGAGGGCAGGGAGAGGGGCAGAAAGAGCCTGCCTCTCCTCGTAGCCCTCCTTCCTGTTGGAGACGCTCCAGCCGGAGGGAATCACACAGGAGGAATCACACAGCACGGTGCATGCTTTGGGGCTGTCCCGACAGCTCACTGACTCCGTGCAGGGACTGCTGGGTCAGCCAGGACCTGGCCATCTCCAAGAACAAGCACACTTCAGCTTCTTCACAGGGGCCTGGCACGGCGGTCACATGTGGCACCCTCAGTGTATGACAGAGTGGGGAGGCCAGGTCCTGGGGACCCTCTGCCCTGGCGTTCCCTTGGTCAGAGACTGGAGGTTCCGTGGCGCCTCCTGCAGTTGCAGGCTGCAGGTGTGCAGTCTCTGGGCAGAGTGAGGAGCAGCAGCAGGACCCCAGAGCCCTGGGTAGGCAGCACTCGGGCAGATATGTGTCCCAGCACTGAGCAGGCAGCAGGACCCAGGCCTCAAGCACAGGCCATGCACAGGCCTTTGGAAACTCTCCAAGCCAATGCCAGGAGGACACAGCACTGGGGGCAGGTGGGACCCTGTGCATCCCTAGGGACTCACACACAGAAAACACACATCTACCACACCTTTCCTTAAAAGAACGGTCTTCATTCGGCGATGTACCAAGCTGTATTCCCCTTGCAGCCTGATGAAAACAGCCAGCTGATTGAGAGGAAGGCAGAGAGTGGACTTCTGGTTCCGTGAGTGAAGGCAGACTTCTGAGCAGCCCCTTCCAACAGAGGAGGCTGGGCTGAGTGTGGGGTGTTGGCTTCGCGCCGAGAGGGGAATCAAGCAAAGCCGCCTCGGGCTCTGGTGRACTGGCGCAGCTCTCACCTCTATTCCTGGCCAAGGGTGGGTCCCTGAGGGGAGGACAGCACCGCCTTCAGAAGCTGTCCAGCTCTACAGAAGGCCAGCTGCAGATCAGGGTTTCCAGACAGCTTTTTAAAAACCAGCAAAACCAAGATACTTTTCAATCTGCCACCCGAAGTCAGGGTGCGTAGGGGGGTGGCTTCTCCCCAGGGAGGAAAGAGGCTGGCACGCAGGGTGCTGGAGCGTTGGCTGCAGGCCCATGGTGGGAGCCCTGAGAGGGAGGCTGCGTGTCCTCGGGTAGATGGAGGTCAGTGCAGGCTGAGGCCCAAAGGATGCCGGAGGGCTGCAATTAAACAGAGGCATCCTCAGTCAGCAGGGGACCTGCCTGCACACTGTCCAGAGAATCTGCAGGCCCCACCTTGGCACAGCGCCCATGCAGACCCAGGRTCCACCCAAACAGGGTCCAAGGGAGCCATCAGCCAGGAAAGGTCCAAAGAGAGGGGCCAAGCGTCAGCCCCGCTGGAAGCTCTGGGCACAGATGCTCCCAGAGCCACGAAGAGACCCTGAGAGGCTGCCCCGAGCCCCTCCCTCTGTGGGCCTCCTCTCTGCAGGCCGCAAGAATAGCGCCATGACCTGACACAGAAGGTTACAGAAGGCAGAGCCACATCCTCCAGGCTCACACAGCATTTGATACTTCAAGGGAAACACAAGGCAATCAACAAGCACACCACAGTGATGGCTGACTGCATCAGCAGACAGGGAGATGGACACGCCACATTTAGCAACCACAGAGGAAAACGAGGACCACAGAGGAAGCCCAGGAACCACAGAGGAAAACCAGGAACCACAGAGGAAGACCAGGAACCACAGAGGAAGACCAGGAACCACAGAGGAAGATCCAGGAACCACAGAGGAAGACCAGGACCACAGAGGAAGACCAGGAACCACAGAGGAAGACCAGGAACCACAGAGGAAGCTCCAGGGACCACAGAGGAAAACCAGGAACCACAGAGGAAAACCAGGAACCACAGAGGAAGCCCAGGAACCACAGAGGAAAACCAGGAACCACAGAGGAAAACCAGGAACCACAGAGGAAGATCCAGGAACCACAGAGGAAG